AAAGGATGTTTGGTATTTGGAAACGCTCGGTGGATAGGATGTGCTCGCGTCGCTGGAGAAATGGGCGCCGACGCGAATCCGAAGGCGACAAAACGCGACGTGCGCGTTGGCAATGCCAGCCTGGCGGCCTCCTCTCGATATGTCTGCCGGTGACGTTTCCATATATCATCGGGGTACCACCTTTCTCGAACACCCCGGGTCGTCCTACTCCCCTACCCTTCGACCTACCGGCAAACTTGCCTCGAGTACCTATCAGCGTTCTGCTAATGCAGCCTCCTACGCCGCGCCGCCACTTTCACGATTCGATACGACCACCAGGGCGCACGTGATGTGGTCACCAATTTTCGATTCTCCAGCTTGTTTTCTCTTTCTTCTTCGTCGTTCGGTTCACCTTGTCGTAATATGTGGCAGATACTACGAGAACGGCGCCGCTCTTCTCGAGGACGTTCCAGTATACGGCAAGAGGCTCACGAATCCTTGGAGTCACCACCATCCGCCGCAACCGCAACAGCAACCGTCTACCGATGGTTCCTCCCCATACTGTTGGTATCATCCGCTTCATTCATCGAGCGGATCGATCCAAGGTCTCGGGCATCGCCATACTCACGCTCACAGTCACGCTCACGGACAAAATCACGGCCACGCTCATGGTCATAGCCAGGGTGATGGTTCCAGTTCGATATCGGCTGCTACCGTGCAAATTAATCAGATGAACGCGTTCTCCGGCTCTCATCACCTGGCTCGGCAACAACAGCAGCAGCAACAGCAGCAGCAGCAGCAGCAGCAAATAGGCCACGTTCAAACGCAAAACGGCACCCTGGACGACGAATGGAAGAACATTCATATGATGTTGAACTGTATCCTCGGTATGGTGGAAAAGACGAAGAAAGCTTTGGCCATACTACAGACTCGTGGATGCTTCGCCGCGTCGACACCGGCGCCTCCTTTGGCCAGCACCAGCACCGTACCAGCTCAGAATGGCGGTAGCGCTGGCACCACCGCTGCCAGCAATAATCCATCGTCGACCAACGGCTCTCAAGTGGAATCCTCGAGCGGCGATCGCGAAGGTAGCTTGAAACGGCTGTCCGGCGAGATCGTTGCTCAGACGATCAGGGCGATCGAGGACAAAGTGGCGGAAGTGAAGAGGAAAGACGGTTGGTATTTTTTTTTTTTTTTTTTTTTCGATCGAGATTAGAGCAACTGCTAGTTATAAGAAGGCAGCTGCACTTTCAGGTAATTTTAACAAACTAACAGAAATGCAATTAAAAATCTGGAGATAGTGTTATACAAACATGCTATAAATTTATGGCCAACTAACAACATATACCAAGTAACAGATCACATGTTTTTTTTTTTTTAATGAAACAGTATATATATAGAGTGGAGCTGCCCCCTTATTGAATGTATTATTAAATGTATAAAAGTGGAGTTGTAAACCCTTCAACCCTCGGACAATCGTAACGCGGTTTATCTTAACCCAAGATAGTTGATATTTAGTCACATTATAGTTACAATTCTTTATGTTGATGTAGGATTAGTTGTAGCAATTAGTACAATATAAATAGAACAAGAAAAAATTCTCGGTACATACAAAGAAATTGTGATCGTTATATAAATTATAGGAAAGAAAATACGTAAAATATAATTGCAAATAATAATTGCAAAATAGTACAGCTGAAAAGTTCAGGTGATATATGCGTAAAAAATAATAATAACACATAAATCCAAAAGTCATACATGCAAAAATTATTATATATCAATCAGTATTACGTGAACAAAATAAATATCGTTTATCCATATTTTTCTTCTAACATATTCGTATTTATGACTTATTGAAAATGAGAATGACACATGAAAATAATACGATACCAATTGGATCAAGAACGATCCTTTATGGCATGCCGCGTCCGAGAATTAGAGATCATGATTTTCAACGCGTTCACGTGAAACGTGCATTAATCCTTTGAGTATTTAGTCCACGTTAGAATATTGTACAGATAATCTTACAATCAATAATAAAATAATTGATTTACTTATTTGAGCAATATAGAATGACATAATACAATATATTGAATAAATAAATCAAAAGTATGTATTTTTAATTTGTTATATCATATATTTTTCAGTAAACTTCTAGACTTTTCAATTTAAGCACTCAGTGGATGATGAAATTAAGAATCCGTGTTCTTGACACACGTTCATGATGCGTGAATCCTACGACTCTATTGATGTCTCGATCATTCAATGGAGTAGGTGGAAATATCCGAGTTCTTTTTACGTTTTCAGAAGAAGCGGTGAAAAGAGCTGTAATGGCCGAGGTTCAGCGTGCCGTTCGAGTGGCGGTGGCTGAATCTAGAGCGAACGAACGCCTACGAGTTCACCGAATGCTCGACGTCCCGTTGTCCCAAAGGAATCACGGCAGCCCTCTTCGTCAAGGATCGTACCTGCGAGTTCACGGTAGTCACAGACCGGTCGATGGAAATGCTAGGACCGTTGCTACGACACCGACCAACTCCGTTTCCAACTCGATCCCGCCGATCACCGAAGAAGAGAAGGAAACGGTGCCGCAGTTGCAAACCGTCTCGGGATCCGTGAGTATATTTCGCGCTTACTATTAGTTGACTAGGATAATAATTTCAACATGCATCAACACTTACAATGTATGGCGATAATATTCGAACATATTTATAAATATAAATATTTGGAAACTTCATTAGCATTGTCATAATTATCATGACTAGACTGCAGATTTTTCACGTACTTTCGAACTTTTGAATGAACATATCTAAATAGAAGCTCGCCTGCTATATGTTATAATACACAGATATTCTATTTTGGATATTTTATATATTTTTACATAGTATCTATCTGCATTGTGTGCATTTTCATTTCCCTATTCGCAGTCTAATCACGATTAACGATTTTTAACGATTTTTAACGATTCTGATAATGTGATACAAAAAGTGGAAAATACCTAGAAGAAATATGTTTCGCAGAGATTATTTTTATATCTAATAATATTGGAGTTAAAATACCTGACATTTTGGAGATGAATCTCAAAACCGAGCAATGTGAAGATAAACTGGAATTGATGCAAATTTCATGAAATTTAATAAGGAAAGTAATTCAAATTTTCCTATCAAAAGCACGTGTCACAATGGTCAAGAAAATACAAATTAAAGATGCTATGAAAAACTGATCTGATCTTGAGAGATTAACAAAGAAGAAAAGACAAATCTGCCTGATCAAAATTGATTATTTGAAAATAAACAAATTGTAAGAGACGAATAATAATAAAATAATAATAAATGATAAGAAGATCGTTTTTCGCAATCTTTGTCACATATTTTCAATTCATATAAAAATATCTATGCGATTTTATCATCGGTTGAACAGTGCATATCTCGACATGCACAATATATTTCGACATGTATAGGGACTCTAGCCTCTTCCTCCATTATACGTGTATTATTTGCATCGTCGAATTGGTTTTTCAGAGTTGTTGGAACTGTGGCAGACCAGCGTTGGAAACGTGCGGTGGTTGTGGAATAGCGCGATACTGTGGCTCTTTTTGCCAACACCGGGACTGGGAAGCCGGTGGCCACCACGCGACGTGTAACAATCCTCCGCCTCGCGAGCCTCGGAGATCCGCGTCTCGTAGCCCGCCGAGGATCGCTAGCGTGAACGAAGCGAGCGTCGCCGCGCCGATACCAGCCAGCGGCGCGACCAAAGGGAAGTGACGTTACGATGGCAACTACTATCGATTCCGACGATTTGCCAGACCGATCCAATACGATTCGCGTTAACGTTGACACCCCTTCTTCTATGTCGAGTCATACATCTTCTGCATCTTTCCCACACTCTTGACAATGGTCCTGATACCAGGCTGCTTGACTGCGTTTCCGTTTTAAAAATTGTTGCCGCTGCACGTTGCTGCACGGTGTTTATTACATCTCCTCGAAATTCATTCATTCGTCCGTGCATAAAAGCTCACTCGTCGGTACGTACTAGAGAGTTAAGCAGTTAAACGAAAGAAATTGATCGCCCTCCGATGGGGATCATAGTTGTAACCGTTCGTCAAATTCTCTTCTTTAGAATAGTCTGTGTAACGGTTCGTTGTATTGCTATTCGATCGAAGCGACAGAGTAGAGATAAATAACGTGTATATATGTATATTTCGGATCGTAGATGGTTCGAATAAACAATCACTTTATTGCAAATAACGAGTGTAAGAGTAACGCTGATTCATCGCTATATTTCGATACTACGTGCGCGATAGAAACTGAATGACACGAACCAAGCTAATGCCGCCCAAACAGCAAACGATCCGATAAACGATAATTTTTATGACACTAGTTTTACGAAGATGCTGGAGGACAAAGGAAAGAAAAACAAAAGCGATAACGATATCAAAGAAAATGAATACATGTTACACGATCTCTAGGTCTCTCTACGGACATGAAGGAACAATTACCTTTAACAAGGTATTTTACATGTTTCGTCAAGTTTAAAATTATTATTTCTCTTCCCGTCTTAGAACTTGATTCGCGACGCAACGAATTTAAGTTTCCCTCTTCTTTCAGCAAAATCGATGTACGGCGTAATGTGGCACGCTATCGATCTTTCTCCTAGTCAATTGATAGATAAACGCGACGTTTTATTTTATACGCGTGACAATGTGTAAATGCACGTACACGTTTACGAGTCTAGTCATTGTTGAGTCAAGAGGTAAAACGAGTTTATCGGTCGTGCGCGCGTTAGGAAACTTTGCTCAAATCTAAACTACGAATCGTTGTATGTTTTTTCTAGATGTATTTTACGTTGCAGGGATGTATGATGGATTCTATAGATTGTATTTATGAATTTAAACGAAATACATGATTATTCTGTGTCATAATGCTTAAAGAACACAAGCACTGACATCATTCTCTTCTGCACAAGTGTCAAGTGTTGTTGACACACGTGTGTTTAATGCAGACAGCATTTCATAAAAAAACGTGTTACTTCTTCTTCTTCTTCTTCTTCATCGTGTCTCCTATTATATTTGCAAAAAGAACTCTCGTCTTTTCTTCCTTTCCCAATGCTTCCTTCCAGTCATTCCTGTTTCTCACAAACAGCGGGACGTTTAATTTGTTGTACATAATTTGTCCAGACATAGTCGAACGTAAAGACTCTCCGACTTCTGCTAATTCTTCCATGATCAAAGTTCTCTGATTTATAGATGCCCAAACCCATATTCTGTCCAAGATTCTGGAACCGTGCGTGCTCTTAGCTAATTGTGACCAGTATCCTTTCAACTTTTTCGCAAGCTTCTCCCTGCTTTTCTCACCAACGTATTTGCTGTCCATGAAAGCATCTACGATGCGACTGCCTTTTGGATCCTCGAATATCTGCACTATTTTCTCCTCATTTGTTTCCAACAAGGAATTGACCATCTTTATAGGTTTGTTAAACTTAAGAATGGCCTGTACGATCAGACTTCCATGTAAGCTGATCAAACATCTCGAATCATTTCTCGTTTTCGCTTCAGAAGTCTCACAATTTTCAAACTTTTTTAGGCTAATTATACACGCTAATATTCGATGCTGTTCCTCGTTCTTCGCTTCGCAATCAAGAACGTTCAATAGTTCAGTTACAAATGCACCTTGCTTCGTTTGTAACTTTAAACACGCGTTCGCTACGCTGACTAAAACACCAGTGTAACCCCTGTCGAGGATGTCGGGGAAATACGAGTGAATTTCTTCGAATAATTGTTCAAAGTGTTCCTTTACGTTGCAGTGATCGAATAGTCGCTGCACGCTGAAATTTGTGCCTCGCATCAACAACAACTGTTTCAAATTGTGTGAAAAATATTCTTCGTACATCGTGTACCAACATTTGGGACTTGCTACCGATAGACAAGCCTCCAGCAATCTGACTGAACTTTCCCTTTGAAAAATGTTGGGCAACTGTTGCTCCTCTTTCTTTGGTTTGAAGCATTCGTTTGTAATTTTCTTGATGTATGCTTCCACCATTTCTGGGAATACATCGTTCAAAGAATACAAGGTGCTTTGTAACAATCCAGATGTAAACTCGTCTTGACCAAATTCCAGGAGCCTAGGCCAGTTGTACAATCTGTTGCACGTTTCATACAATAAGTCTTTGTAGTTCTGTACGACTGGTCGTTTTTCGCCAAGTATCAGCTTTCTCTTGTCGATGCTGTTATCAGGCTTATCGATCAGACCACCAAGACACTCTATGACAGTTCTTAAAACATGATTCGCATACGTATCAAATACAAATTCCTCTCTGTTGTTAATAAAATATTTACTTAACTTCAACACGATGTCGTTGTAAGAGTCCACTTCCAGCTCCTTAACCTCTATACTGACATCTGCATCCTGCTCGGGGCACGATTTCGAAAGCGTGCCTCTGTTTCCTCTGTCGGCGCAGACCACTATGATCTTCTGCAGAACGTGGCTAGCGAACCTGTCGCTACTTAGAATTCGTAAAGAGGATTGAAAAGCGGCAACTAACCTCTGAATCGTCTCCAAGCTCGCGTACTTTAAGAGCGAATCCAATATCCTGGATCCAACCTGATTCTGGGCGTATTCGAGTTCGTGGCCGACAGTTTGTTCGTACACGTTATTTACAAATATCAATTTCTCCTCGGTGGTAGAGAAATCGCTTTTCATCAATTCCAAAATATGCACCATGTACTGATACGTTTCGCCATCGACGTTCGAGTATCCGTGGTTTCTTCGTCGGGCCAATTTTTTCGCCATCTGAACGTGAGACCGTTTTTTCTTCCGTTTTTTACCTCTTTCGTTGTTTCCGTAATCGTCGGCCATTGTTATTAAAGTAATACTTCAATTTTACACGCGAAACAAACTGGTACATAACCTTCTTACACTGGTGAGCATGAAACTTCGTCGCAGGTCGCGCCATCTATGACCAAACGTCGAAGTCAATGATGGAATGTACGAAATTAGAAAAGCAAGGAAACGAAATATCAAATTCTAAATAGAAAACGAATAATTCCAAATGGTTCGTAGTACAATGTTTTCACTGTAGCATTAAAATTACTAACTACGTTTCTCGTGTCGTGCGTTCTTCCCTTTATTTTACATATTCGAATTAATCTACATAAATCTTTATAAGTCGTTCTCGTAATTCGAAGATTCTTATCGTCTGGCTCATCATCAGTACGTTTGTCCGTATCTCAACAAGAAAGGAAACTCTATAATGGACGTAATAGTGGAGAAACATGGAAGAGACAAGAACTTCCGAATGCGGTTCTTTGGATCTCACTAGCCGTTTTGTCGTCCCGTAGGCTCGGATCTTTTCCAAGTGTCCTTCCAACCAATATGGATCGCGGATAAATATCTCGATTAGCGCAAACGAATGTCTATCGTAGTTAATTAAAGGCCCCTTCGACTGCTATCACAAATAGAGAAAAAGAGTGTATCGAACTAAAATAGTTCTCATTGAGGACAATAAATCTTTTCTTTACCTAAGAAATATATGTATATGTATATGTGTGTGTATGTGTGTGTGTGTGTGATGTGTGAGAAAGAGAAAAAAGATCGTTGTTTTTTTGGATTGACATTGACAGTTTCGTGAATCAACGAATGTTATGCGTTTTCAAATATTATACCTATTCACCCGTACGATTCGCACATTGCGTGATTAGCTGCAACCTATCGCGACCGGTCGGTTGCAGCTATAAGAAACCTTGTCGAACAGTAGAATCTCCGATGTCTCCGTAATGACATGTA